GGAAGGAAGGAAGGAAGGAAGGAAGGAAGGAAGGAAGGAAGGAAGGAAGGAAGGAAGGAAGGAAGGAAGGAAGGAAGGACATCCCACTCCCAAAAAAGCAGGTAACTGACCCACAAGCACACAGACTCTATGTCCAGCAGCAAAGGGAATATGCAGCCTCCCTGGGCCACATCTGGCCTAGCAGGGCACCAAGCATGTGGCCACCAAGGGATGTCTTGTAAAGAACTCCAGCACCTGGCTGGGCACTGCTGAAATCCAAATAGGAGGCTGGCAAGTCTCCAGCAGACATAATGCCAGATGAAGGGCAAAGGACTTTGAAAACTTTCCAACGCTCACAACCCCCCATCCAGAGGAGCAAACAGCGTGATCGAGGGAACCACAGGAATGGACTAGACCCAAGCAGAAATCAGACTCGGGAGGAGCTAACCTTAACCATCAAGAATTAATCGCCAAGAGAAAAGGGCTCAGGGGCCCAAAGCACAGTTCCAGAGCACTGTATACCCTCTCTCTCACCCCTGCTAGTGCCCTGTGCAGGAAGAGACCCTTCAGAAGCACAGAAGGCATGTGGGCACACTAGGAAAGATGTTGCTGCCGTCAAGGTGAACAAGCCCCAGATCGTGAAGACAGCAGAAGGGTGGTAAGGGAGGCTAGAGCTGAGAAAGCCTCGACACGGGGCAGTCCACAGGGAGGAAGGAGAGTGAACACAAGAAGTGAAGGAATCCTGCAGCACCCTGATGTGAGAGCACTAAGGTAAACCCAGGAGCCAGGCTCTCCCGCTCCAGGAAGAACCACTGACTGAGAGCACTCCATCTATTTCAGCGTTTTCCTTGGGCATATTTACATACTTTGTTTCAATTTTTATTTTCCATATTCTAAGCACATTATATGCTGTTCATTTTTTAATTCTTTGATTTTTCTCTGAGTGCATGCAATGTTGTATTTTAAGTGCTCAATATGTTGTAATTAGTATTTTATTGGAAAAAGCTCCTACATTTTTCCTTGTCATCTCCAAATCTATTATCTCTCTACTGCTTTGCAATTCCCACTCTATCTCTTCTTACCCCATACTCCCTTCCTCCGTCATTACTTAAATATGCTACATTTTTCCCAAGCAGAGCCCCAGTACTCCCATCTGAAAACCTTTTGAGGGGACAGGACTCAAGAGCTAAATGTCTTCTCCAGCTAACAATGACATTTGTCAAACCAGTAGATGTTGCTGCAGTCAGCTTTTCCCCAGACATAAATTCAAGTGAAGATCGCCCACAAGGAGGGCTCATCAAACAAGCACACACACACACACACACACACACACACACACACACACACACACGAGGCAATACCCCAGTATGACAACCCCCAAGCTCACAGCTTCTCAATACTGGATAGTTAAATAACAGACACCAATTTCAGAGTTCTATTTTTTAAAAGATTCAAAGACCAGGGCCAGCAAAATGGCTCAGCAAGTAGAGGCATTTGCTGCCAAGCCTGATGACCTGAGTTCTAGCCCACGGAACCAGGTGTTAGAAAGTGGTAACCAGTTCCTGCAAGTTGTTCTCTGACCTCCACATACAAAATCAATCAATTAAATATAATTTTTTAAAAATGTAAAGGCTCAGTGGCCAAAAGGAGGACTGAAATAAACAGAAAATGTAATTAGAGATCTAGAAAATAAACTTAGGAAATTAACTAAACACATAGATCAGAAAGTTACCAAAGTAGATGAAAGATTCAGCAATTTGGAGAAAAAAAATAAATATGGAGGAAAAAATCACCAAGAAAATAGAATCACTGAAAAAGAACCAAACAGAAATTTTAAAAATGAATGAATGTGTCAATCAAACAGTCTCCTGAGCAGACAAGACCAGGCAAGGGAACGAATCTCATGGCTGGAGGATAAGGTCAGGGCAGTAACACATACAGGCACACATAAAGAAAAAAATCAGTGAACATGACCAAAATTTCAAGAATTCTTGAACATACACACAAAAAGAAACCAAACCTAAGAAGTCATGGAACAGAAGGAAGTTACATAAAATCAATGGTCTAGGCAATCTGTGGATGAAATTATAGCTCAGAACTTACAAAACCTAGAGAAAGAAATAGACATCCAAACACAGGAACACTTTACAACCCCAAATAGACATGATCAGAAAAGAGCCACCTCACAATATATCACAGTCAGGATGTCCAAAACACAAGGAAAAGAAATAAGACTAAAAGCTGGAAGGGAAAAGCACCAACCAACATGCATGGCGGAAATACCAGAATAAGATCAGATCTTAACAAATGACCACAACAGCTAAGAAAACATGGAATGATATATTATTTCAAGCCTTGAAAGTAAATAAAATTGTTATTCTAGAGTGTTACACTCAGCAAAATTATCTATGAAAATCAATGGAGAAATAAAGTTATTTAAAGAATACCACAAGTTAAGCAGTATGTAACATCTAGGGCAACATTATGGAAAGTTCTTTTAAAAATACCAACATGGTTTTACACATGAGGACACAGGAGGGGATGGAGGCAAAGAAAGCAGTAGTTGAACACGGATAACTAAGAAAGAACTGATTATGTCTCAAAGAACAAGCTACCGAGCATCCAACAATGCCAGCGAGGAGCCGGGGGTCGGGGTGGGGAACTACCAGCTAACCAGCCAATAAGAACAAAAAACATCAAGTTCACAAACAAGAGCAAACACTTCTTACTTACAAGCTTGAACACAAATGGTCTTAATTTCCCAATTAGTAGACTCTGACTAGTACACTGAATAAAAAAAAAAAAATGCCAACAAACTATCTGCTGTCTCCAAGAAACTCATGCGGTTAAGACATCCACAAACTGCGAGTCAGAGGTTGAAAATCAAATCACTGAGCTGAGAAGAAGCTGCCCCAGTAACTCTCATCTCTGATAAAGTATACTTTAAGTCAAAATTAATCAGAGGAGATAAACAGAGCGATTACATATAGTAACAAGAGAAACAGCTTCTCAAGAAGACATTATATTATAAATGTTGATGTCCTGAATATTGGGACCCCCAATTTAAAAAAAAAAAAGTATAAAAGGCATAAAGGACCACATAGTCCAGACACAATAATGACAGATTTCACCACCTGCTCTATTAGTTACTTCTCTTGCTGGGATAAAACACCATGACTAAGGCAACTCACAGAAGAAAGAGTTATTTGGCTTATGATTCCAGAGAGGTAAGAGTTTATTGTGGATTGGGAGCATGGCAGCAGGCAGCAGGCACCAGACATGGTAGTATGCAGCAGGCATGGCAGCATGGAAGCATGCAGCAGGCATGGCAGCATTCAGCATGCAGCAGGCATGGCAGCATTCAGCATGCAGCAGGCATGGCAGCAGGCAGCAGGCATGGCAGCAGGCAGCAGGCATGGCAGAAGGAGCCAGAAGCTGAGATCTTAAATCTCAGCCTTGGAATAAGATCAGGCAAGGATGGAGACAAATGAATTTGACATCTTAAATAAGATTGGTTGTGGGAGCCAAAGCCAGAGGAAGTGGGGTGAGTAACACATGCCTAGGAGCATGGGGGAAAGAAACAGAAATCCATGTCCTCAAGGCGCACACTGGAACTGTGTCTTCCTACACGTAACTGCCCTTCCCTCTCTCACACACTCTCTCCGGGATGTTCGTTCTACGTATACCACTGGAATGTTTTCATTATTGACCTTGAACCATCCTTTGCAGTTTTATATGATCTCTGTTAATGAGAAATAATAAAATTTAAGATTAACGACAGGGCCATTCAAAATGATAATGTCACACACGTCTCGCCAGCTGAAGACAGCCTCTATCTGGAAGAAAAGGACAGAACTCTATCTAGAACAAGAATTTCCGTTGGCCTGAATTAACCATTGAAGAGGAGAAAGGAACAGACTCACTCCGACTAAGTTCAAGAACCAGGCTACTTACTAAACAAGCAACAAAACCTCAGAGTGTTTCAACTCTCATGCCCACACACACATGCACACATGTATGTACCACACATAAGTGTGAATACATGCATACACCACACAATTAATTAATTAATTTGGAAACTGACTGAGGAAGACACCTGTCACTGACCTTTGGCCTCTTTACATAGCCTTCAAAACCATGCACATACATACTAGCATGTACACACATAAAAAAGGAAAGAAAATCCCTTTTCTGCCATGAAAGGTGCTTTCTCAGATACTCTTGGTAGAAAATCTCAAACTAGACTGCATGTGTAGCCATAGACCAGTCACAGTGGGATCTGAGACCCTCACGATGGAGCGGGGGCCAGGATTGTCGTGCCTCACTGAATATTAGGGTTACCAGTGAATTAGGAAACACCAATATCTGTTCTCCATCTCCGCTCACTTATGTCTGAGTCTGTCGGATGATTCCTAGTGGTGCATAATTTCAACTCCCAGGAAGGTCCCACTAGGTGACAGGAGACGAGAACTCCTGGGAGACTGATTGCGTTCATTTCCTGGAGCTAAGCTTGCGTCTCCATGAACAAAGATAGAACTCACTGTCTGGGAAGAGGGGGTGACTGCTGGATTTTGAGTGGGGAACACGGTGCTGTTGTGGCGATCTAGATAAACACTGTAGGGGCTGAAGAGATGGCTCAGCGACGAAGAACACTTTCTGTTCTTGCGGAAGACCCGGGTTCAATTCTCAGCATCCATATGGTAGCTCACAAGCTCCATAACGCCACTTCCGGGGGATCCGACACCCCCTTCTGACCTCTGTGGACACCAAGCATGCATGTGGTTCATACACACGCACGCAGGCAAAGTACTCACGCACAATATAAATCTAAAACAAATTAAATCCTGATATAATTAGGCTAAACGGTAGGACCTAGGGGTAGAAAGACTGTAAGAATTCTGCTAGAATCCCCAGTGAATCCGGGTGATCACCCAGGAGGCTTATGGGTAACAGCTCTAAGGAACTTTAATGGGGTGACACACATCCATGGGGCTGTCCGTGGAGTCAAAGAAATCAAGAAAGAAGAAATGTTGAAGATACAGTTAGCTCAATGGCGGACACAGTGAAGTGGCTGAGTTGTCTCAAGGCGTCTAAACAGACGCTTAGCGTTCAGCGAAGAGGTAAAGCACGTTCTTTACGTGACATTTGTGAGAACGATGGGGGACCCATGATGAGTAGGTGGACTGGAAGTGTCTTGAGAAAGCCGGTCTACAGAGATGGTGGGCATCATGAACCTGGTGAGGCTAAGCTGTGAGGTGTGTGAAACATAGAGAAAGGGCAGGGCTGTCACCCTGGGCAGGGATCTCTCTGCAGAGGCATGGATTTATCCCGAAGGTTCAGTATTAAATAAACGAGATCACATTGTTTTCAGCTAACACGAATAACAGAATGACTCAGGCAAAGCCAGGCCTTCCAATTCTGCATCCCTTGGACTGAGCCTCGATCCAAATTCTGACTCGCACATGACTCGCAACTATGAAATCTGAGTGACCTTTTGGTCTCCAGTGAAACGCTCTGGGAAAATTCTTTTCCCTGCACTCATTTCAAAACAGTAAGGGCCACATCATTCAAGATGCCTTGTCAAGGGAATTCAATTAGCATCAGTCCTGAGGGTCACCTCAGGACTTCTTAAACTTGGTCATCCTGTGAATTCCTCTGGGTTTCCATGACTCATATCAATTGTCTTTTTTTTTTTTTTTTTTAAAGCCATTCATGCTTCATCTTACAGATTCCAAGGTAGCTCTGGGTGCCCTTTAGTGTCACATCAAATCTGAAAAGCAGATGTACCCAAGGGGAGGCAGTGGATGGGAAACGCTGGGTCATCCATAGTTCCTTGCCTTTCCCCAAGCAGCTGTTGGAGCACAGGGTTGCAGGCCCTGGGACTTCCTGAGAACCTCCCACAATCTCCGGATGGGTCCATTCTCAGTTTGGAAAACACTGGCTATCTATTTGTTACAAAGATAGGTCCCGAGTTAAATAGAACCCCGGAGTGCGAAAACAGTAACATTTGCCAAATCTGCTCTAATAGTAGCATAAAGCAGCTTAAATCACTGAGAAAATGTTGTTGTTATTAGTAAAATTAAGTATGCGCTTTCATTAAAGGATCACAAGGAGAAAACACCATTCACTCCTTAATTCAGCAAATGCTGAAGTGCCTAGGACTCCGGAGTCATCCTGTCAATCACAGGTAAGTAAAACAGAGTTCCTGCTTTTCAGTAAATAAAAACGTTTAAAATACCCTTTGCAGAGGGGGGGAGATAGTTATGGGTGACAGTACTTGTTGCACTAACACAAGGTCGTGAGTTCAAACACCCAGTACCTACGTAAAAAGTCAGGTGTCACCACAGGCACCTGGAACCCCAGCACCAAGGGGACAGAGACAGAAAAATCACTAGGGCTAGCTTGCTGCCATCACAGATCCCGCTTCAGGACAAAGACCCCGTCCCAAAGGGATACGGTGCAAAGTAACAGAGCAGGGTGTCCCACATCCTCCTCTGTTTTCTGTATATATATCAGGTGCAAAGACCCACAAACACATGTCCACACACCTCACATATACCACACACACACACTCACACATCGTGTTGACAGACTCCATGGACTTACCTGCCAGGTATCCAGCCATCTGAGGCTCTTCCTGAGAAGACATTGTGAAAACAGTCTCTGGCAGGTTAGTGTGACCCGAAAGAAATGGCTTCACAGAAGAGGAAGCTATTCCAATGGCCTGGATGTCAGTTGAATGAAAACAGAAAAAAAAGTTTTCACTCACCTCCAGGGACATTAGGCCAGACAAAGCGCAACTTGGTTCCTTTTCCCCAAAAAAGAAATCTCTTGCCGTAACAGCAAATCTTAAATTCAGCCATTCAACCAACTTTTTACCCAGAGTCCACAGAGCAGGGCCTCAAAAAACAAAAAAACAAAACTGGATAACACAGAAATAATATGCACAAGCCAGGAGCTTGTGAGGCTGATATGTTTAGAATTCATGAAATCTGTTCGGGAACTCATATCCTACTATAGACAAACTTCAACATGCAGAGTTCAGGCAGGCCCAAATGAGAGCTGCAGGAGTGGTTGGAAAAGCAAATTAAATTCTGTGAGAAAGGCCAAATAAACCTTAGTTTCTTGAAGAAAGCACAGGACAGGCTTGCTGCAACCTCGCGGTCTGGGGGGCTTGCTCTGTTCTCTTCTTTAAAAGCCCGGACACAAGAAAGCGGACCACATCAAAGGACATTTTTAAAACCCTTGATTCAGTCAGTTAGAGCGTATAACATGGGTACCCACCATGTTGCTAACACAAGAGGCAATTACAAAAATGAGTAAAACATAGTTCAGCCAATAGACGCCATTTCATTCCGTCATAGAGAAGAATTCTTTAAATAAACAGGTGATAAAATTTCAGAACTGGCTGAGAGCGCATCATGTGAACGCTTAGAGGCTGTCAGATTATTGATCTGAGGCCATCATAACCAAAGGACAGAGAAGATGATGACCTCAGCCTCTTTTGAGATCTTTGATGCTAAAACCTGTGTGCTAGTTTTACCACCAATTACTTCCCACAAAGTGACATGAGAGGCAACACAGAACCATGGCATACAGCTGCATAGCCTTCAACTTACAAATATTATAACTTCCTGTCAAATGTTCTTACATCCATTTCTAATTTTTCCATTCAAAAATGATGCTCAAATCCCTAGATGTAAGGGTAAATATGCGATAATCTCCCTGATGAAGAATTTCAAATGTAAAATGCAGACCAAGTTTATTGCCAATAGAGATGTTGCAGCCTTAAAAATGGAGAGGAAATTGTTTATAATATGATAATTTAGTCTGTTTTAATGCAGGTTTTTAGGTTCAATGTCTAATATAAATAACTGGAAAATGAACTATGAGAATTCAACCAAGTTTTTTTTTTTTTTTTCAAGAAAAATGCCGGTACTTATAACCTTAAATCGTAGAAGCACGCCTAAAACATTTATTGTTAAATTCGAAAGAAAAGGGGGATCAAAATATCTGCATTCACATGCCAGATATTTTTATTTGAATAGCTCGTTAAAACTTCAAATTCAGTAATATCAAGAAAGAAAGAGCAAGAGATGAAGAAGCTAAGAAGGCTATGAGGAGGAGGGCCTGGGCACGTTCCCTTTCTCGAATGCTCTTTGCACCTGTGTCCTTTGTTTTAAGGTTGTGATCACCTCCAGAGCACTTCAGACCCGAAAGGTGAGCCATCTTTGACGTCTTCTTCCTTTATTCCCAACTAATTCATGCAGAAATGTACCGAAGACCTACTGTCTACCTGTCACAGTTCTGAGGAGGGAAGATGTAATGTTTTATGTCCATTTGAACCAGTTTTAACCCCCTAGGGAATTGGGCGCTTTTTCTAAATGATATTTCGCTGAGGTCATTGTGGATACATATGCAGTTGTGAAGCACAGGGCAAGGAGAGTGCACACTCTTGATTTTGGTAATATTTTGTAAAAGCAAATAGGATCACCACCAGGGTGCTGTGGGATGTCTTTCTGTACACTGTGATTATGTGTTGCTCTGATTGGTTAGTTAATAAGCTGCTTTGGCCTATGGCAAGGCAGCTTAGAAGTAGGCAGGAAATCCAAGGAGAGAGACAGGAAGGAGAAAGGCAGAGTCTGGAGAGACACGAGCTGCTGCCCAAGAAAAAGCAAAATGTCAGCAGACCGGTAACGCCATGGCCCCCTGGCTAAACATAGATGAATAGAAATGGGTTAAAGATGAAAGAGCTAGCTAGCAATAGGCCTGCCACAGGCCATACAATTTATAAATATTATTAAGCCTCTGACTGATTATTTTATAAATGGCTGCAGGACCATGGGGCTGGGCAGGACCGTGGCCAGGTAGGACCAGAGAAACCTTCCAGCTACACCAGGTTGTTGTCATGATAGTAAGTGTGCCTTGTTCAGGGTTTCCCAGTCCTATTTTTACTCATTTGGGAGTGTTTAATTCTGAACTATTTTATGGCCAGCGTGGGTTCATGTGTCTGCCACCACTGTGTTCAACCACTGTAAGGAAAATATGCACCCCCTGTTATAACTCTTTATAACTCTACTTAGCCCTGCCCCTGGTAACCACTGTCCCCCATTTCTAAGTCTGTCCTTTCAAAAACATTGTGTAAATGACGTAATAAAATTTCAGAGATTGGCTTTACGTATCACCTTAACACTTCAGAGATTTATCAAAGTATTGCATCTATCAATAGCGTGTTCCATTGATCAGCCAGTAGTAGTCCGTGGTATATACTGACCACATTTAACCTTTCACTTGTTGAAGGGGATTGCAGTTATTACAGATAAAGCTACTATGAACACTGTGTGTTTAGATGTGGCTTGGGAGGACTTTGGGTTTGCACTTTGATTATTTGAGACAGGGTCAGTCAGGTCTCAAGCATGTTATGTACTAAGGCAGGCCTTGATCTTCTGATCCTTCTGCCTTTACTTCTTGAATACTGGGATTTTTGCATGCACCACCACTGTGCCAGCATTTCTGCATGCACCACCACTATGCCAGC